GTGCGGCAGGACCTGGCCATGACGGGCGAGGTGTCCCTCACAGGCAAGATCCTGCCGGTGGGCGGCATCAAGGAGAAGACAATCGCGGTGAGTGTTCCCACCTGGGGGTGCTGGGTGACAAGATTGGGAGGGGTGGTGTCCCGGGCGCCCCACCCAGTTCCTGCAGCCCCGTGTGCCCTGGAGGGGCCCACGAGGGGGTTAGGGACCCCAGGGCCTCCCCTTGCACTGTAGACTGGAGTGTTCGTGGGGCCAATGCTTCCCGGCCCTGGAGCTGCCCCGTGCTTGGTGTCCAACACACACTGTCCTGAAAGAGGGGCCTGCTCGGGAGGCCGAGGCCGCAGGATTGGGCTACTCGCAGCAGCGTAAGAAAGGCAGGGGCTCTGTGGGTGTCAGACAGCTCGGGGCGCAGCGGGCTGGGCAGAGGGTCCTGCCAGTCAGACACCAGGTACGGGTGCTGGTCCCAGCGGGCGTGGGGTGCGCTTTGCACCCCTTCGCACCGAGGCCTGTGGATTCGCAGTGGGCAGGCCTCAGTTTCCCCACCTGGAAGCCACAGCCAGCCCTGGCTGAGCAAGCCTTGCCGCCCCTAGGCCAAGCGCGCCGGCGTGACCTGCGTTGTGCTCCCGGAGGAGAACAAGAAGGACTTCCACGACCTGGCGGCCTTTATCACCCAGGGCCTGGAGGTGCACTTCGTGGGGCACTACTCCCAGGTCTTTGACATCGCCTTCCCTGTCCCCGAGCCACACGCGGAGGCCGTGGCTGTGGAGCGGTGACGGCCCCGCACCCGACCCCCGAATCGCGGCGCTGCCCTGTGATCATGAGTAAAGCATTTTCGGTACCGGGTGGCCGCTGCCCGTGTCTGCACCCAGGGGTCGGGGGGAGCGGCGGGGACAGAAGCAGCCAGGCCACGCGATTCCCGCAGAGGTTTATTGTGCACAGGGGAGGGGCTCAGTCCTTCTTGGCCGCTGCTTTCCTCATGGCGGCCAGCACGTTGCTCAGCTCCTCGCGCTTCCTCTTGGCTCGGATGTGCGTCCCCACCTGCGCAGAGCAGGGC